CTCAAAATGACGATTCAAGTTGTAGTCTTTGAGCACTGCCACAGTTTGTTTGCAAATTAAGCACACAGCTTTTCCACCCACACTGGTATAAAAATATTTAGAAGTCCATTCTTTGTTGAATATTCGGCCTTCAGCGTCCACTTCCCGCTTCTTTGATAAATTAATTTCGAATTAATGTCCTCTTCAGTGAAAAGTATTGCCGCGGTTGCCATGCACGCGTGTTTGAAAATTTGCCGATCCGTACATTTCTGACGTCAGCCTGATTCAGGACTGAAGGGAGGGAATGAGCGCAGAACTAAACCGTGTAATTGGCTGATGTTCCCGATCTGATTCAAAGGCGAAATTTGTGGAGAAAAAAACTAACGACTTTAGCAATTAAAAATCGATGCTATGACAAAAGTAAGAAACGTAAGGGACGCATTTAAAACTGAGCCTTTCTGAGACTGAATGAACTATAATTTTTTCTATTGCTAGACACAATGACGGGCTAGATAGAATCATTTGGCGGGCCGGATATGGCCTGCAGGCCGTATTTTTGCCGATCCCTACTCTAGAGTGAACAGGACTGGAAGTGCAAATGAGATTTAAAATCCTTCTTTTATTGTTGGGATCAATAAATCCTGTAGGTTGACAAATATATGTACAGTAAACATGTGTGTACGGTGCACATCGGGGCACCTTCCGAAACCGACAAGAGCAGCTTATCAGGGTGTGTGCGGGTGCGCACATGGATGTGGTGCGCACATGGGTGACTGTTTTAAAGATAGCGTCCCAAAAAACGTGTGCACAACCTGTGTGGGGTGAAGGAATGCAACGTAAAGAACGGAATGTTTTTGAATTGGGAGAAAGGGAACAATGTAACAGAAGATGTACATTGTGTTTGTTTGGGATTTCTGTTGTAATATTATATTTATTAATAATTTTTTTAAAAAAAACGTGATAGGAGCAATAATGAACCTATGGCATCTCTGCATCTGTCACTGTCTCAGAGGCTGCTTGTGAAATGTGAGTTAGGCTGCAGGTGGGCAGCTGCTCTATGTTCAGCCCACGTTCAGAATAACATCCTGAGTAGCAAGAGCTCTATCCTAATTAATTGCTCATTAATAAGAAAAACATTTTAATTGGCAGATTGTTTTTTGGCAGAATTACAGTATCAGCAACTCTGTTCATCAGCACTAGTTAAGATTTTTCAAATCTAATCACAAAGCACATAAGATCAGTGTAATTTTTTGTTGGGGGAAGCCTTGCCACAGGAACCTTGCCTTGTTTTCTAAAGTTATTTTCTTCTCAAAATCCCTCATGAACTCTTGTGTACGTGACTAAAACCAATAGGACGAGCAAGCAACCTTCTTCTATCGTGTGAGTCTTGAGGGAATCCCATTTTAGCACATCTGTTCAATTGCAAAGGGTAGCATAAGGGTTCCACTGAAATCATCATGATGTTAAAAATAAACCAGAAAGCAATGAGAGAATATTGCCGCAGCATGTGCTTTCCGATACTAGATGAATGAGAAATTGATATTCATACTAACACTGACCAAAATTAATTTTCTTATCTGGCTGTAGACAATTCAAGACTAGATAACATAATTCTTAGAAGAACAATAACATGCCTTTATAAGTGTGATAAAAATCTTTTTGGTAAAACTGGTTAAAAAGCTTTATTTTAAGTGATAATTATTGGTATCATGAGAGCAATTTTTTAATTGAATATATTTAATTGGATATTTTTCACATCAGAAATTGCCTTAATTTGCGTGCATTTTTTATTCTTGCCACAGGATCCAGTCAGATCCTGACAAGTTCATTTGAATTGCTTTTCAAATACATGTTGTTAGATGTGTGAATTATTCTGCTAGAATAATAATTGTATTAATATATAACATGTTTTCCTACTGTAAATATAATGCTCATTTGTTATTGTACATTTCATTTTGTGTAAATTGGAATTGATTTACATTCAGTCTGAATAATAAAGAGGCTTGGTATCAATTGGAGTTTAAATGTGTATTGAAATGGAAATCTACTTTGTGCAACAACAAACCACCAAACTGCTTATGCTTGCATTTTTGGATGAGTGATCTTTTTGTGTTATCTAACTGTACAGTTGCTGGGTATATGCATTTGTCTCAGATGTTCAATGCAACAGGAATTGGTTGTCTTACAGTGAGAACATTTATTAATGATTACTTTTTCAAAAGAATCTTGCATGTTCTTCGTCTCAATTCAGGAATTAGCTGGAATGTGGGTATGAGTAAAATGTCCTCCAGGTAGTTTTTACTTGGTTAATGTGAATTTCTGCAATTCTAGAAAAATCCCAGGTGGCACATGGAATTTATTGTAAGATTTATTTGCTACTGTATTAATACAAATAAATTGCAGCTCAACTTAAGTGACCTGTAGTGGGTCTTTCCCTAAGGCATTAGTATCACTGCTGCCTTAGTTTAATTACTAAACCATCACTAAAGAGGCAGGGAGAAATCAGAGGTATAGATAAAATGGAAGGGAGAAATTGGAGGGCTTGTGATGGGACTTAATTTTATAAGATATTGGGGTCTAATTTGTCCATGTTCCTTAACATACTAATGTGAATTCCCATACATCTGGCAGTACTACCTTTTTCTGATTATTTATTGAACCTTAAGTTATATGGTAATTATATTTAGTGTAAAGATAAAATTAAATAATTTGTTGATTTTCCAGGCCTAGGGAAATGTGCGAAATACAGGGTTTAAGGTATTTTTAACTGGGATTACATTGCAATTATAATCTGGTTGAAAAATATGGGCCGTTGGTTGATAAACATTTGTTATGGTAACTAGCTAAGAGGTACATTACAACAACAACTTCCATTTATATAGCGTCATTCACACGGAGTAGCATCTCAGAGTGTTTACATTGGAGTTGAAGACACAAAAAATAGGATAATTATTCTCTCAGTAAATTAGTGAGAGATTAGCAGTTAGAAATTGCTTATTTTTGTTGCTTAACCTTATATTTTTCTGTCTGAACATGCTGCTGATATTAAGAGAGTGGCTGCTGCAAAACATACACCAAGAAATTATTTATTACAGAAGTTGTCGCTAAACCCGTGTGCAAGGAATGAGTCAGACTTATATGAATATTTTTACTGAAGACAATCTTACCAAAACACAATTTGTCGATCTGCTTTGTAAATCATCTAGAATAAGAGAAAATGTGCAGCACAGAAGGTCGTTTGCCATGTTGTGTCTGTGCTGGTGTGACCTCCCCCACAGAAGCTATCTGCTCGAATCCTGTTCTCCTGCACCGTACATTTTGTACATCCAAGTTTTCCTACAAATATTGACACATTTGACCATGTTATGGTTGTGTTCTGTTGCGCCATATATGCTAGAACATTTAATGATTTAAACGGAAATAAAGGACTAATACAGTACTGTATGGAGGATATCACCAATCATATCGTGACCCATAACCTGTGTACATTTGGAAGAATAAGCTTTGTTTAAAAAAAAATCTTAACATGCGAAGATGAAACGTCAAACATTTTCAACCGCCCGTGACTTGGAAAAGCACGTGCAACTTCTGCTGGACAGGACGCACAGCAGCTTTCGCCGCGCGGAAAACCGTTTGCGTCAACAATCCGGCGTGTTGCCCGCGGAGCGCTTTGAGCTGGGCGCGAACCCTTGACGTTTCCAGCGTCTTGGGGGCGTCAACCGAGAGACAGACGCAGGGGTAACGCTGTGAGATGTAGCGAGAGCGCTCTGTTGGCGCGTAGGCGGCGGCCAAGTCACGCGCCGCAGCGTCTCAAGGGCAGCGAGTGACCCTTTATTTCCCCCCCACCCCCAAAAAAAAAAGTGGCGGTATTGTCGACCGGGAGAAAGCCCCCGTTTTGGTCACTCGCCCCCCACCCCCCCACGGCCGTGGGTCCGGCTGCCTCGTTCGGCCACAACCTACACGGCCGCCAGGCCTTACAGCGGACCCCTATCGTGAGGAGTATTATCATCGGAGTCCTGTAGCTCAGTGGTTAGAGCACTCGCTTTGCAAGTGAGAGACCTGAGTTCAATTCCAGGCAGAGGGCGAAACCTTGGGCAAGTTTCCTTACTCCACACAGAGCCTAATAATAATCCCTCCAAAAAACTTAAAAAACAATAATAAATTGGTCATTTTCAATCTACGACTGTTTGTGGGACATTGCTGTGCGCAATTGGCCGCCGCGTTCGCCCACAAATATACAGTCAATTCACTTTACAGTGTGTTCTGTGAAGCGCTTTGGGACGTCCTCCCGACGTGAAAAGCGCTATATCAAATGCGAGGATTATTATTATTATTATCATCGGTCCCGCGAGGCGCCTTGAGACGTCTCGGCGACACGAGGAAGGGGCCGTTAATGCCAACTCTTTTAAAGTGTCCGCGAAAACCCTGCGGACTCTTCTGGAAGCCCGGCCCGGCCCAACGCCCTTTTTTTTTCTCTCTGCGTGCGGACGACGACAATTTCGCAACCGCTCGCGCAAAATGACGCAATCCCCGGCCCTCGGCCTCAGCGCGTGGCCGCAGTCACCCATCGGCCACCTGAGCCAATCAGCCCCCGGCTCCTCGGTTAGCCAATCAGCGTGGTGGCGGTCAGCCAATCGGCGTGGTTGCAGTCGACCAATCAGACCCCCGTGGCCGCGATCAGCCAATCAGACCCGTTTGGCCGCTGTCAGCCAATCAGCCCACGTAGCCGTGGACATGGCGGGGGCCAACGCCTTCCCCTCTCACGGGGGCCGCCCCCCCCCCCTCTCCGGCATGTGCCTTTGTACGTGCGCGCGCAACCCCCTCTCCTTCACCCTAACTTGACGCCCGCAGCGACGCGGCCTTTGATCGACGGGTGACTCGGCGCACGCCAGACAATCGGAGCGGCGCCATTCGCCAATGAGGGAGGCGGGTTACTCGGCCGAGGGCGGGGCCTGGCGTGCGTGCCAGCAAGTTGCGTTGACACCTTTTTCCCCCTCCCCCTCCTCCGCCCCCCCCGCCCCACCCCCCGGAGCAACTGGCATTAGTACAGAAAGGCGTTTTTTCGGTCGTGGAGTGAACGCTGTCGAGGTGAGCGGCGACGGTTGGAAGCGGACGGAGGGAAAAGCTCGTTAACTTTTTTTTAAAAAAAACCTGAAAGCTTAAAATCGTCGGTTAATTGAGATCCACGTTCCTTGGTATAATTAAGTGTTTTTTTTCACTCCTCTCTCTCTCTCTCTCTCTTTCTCAGCAGATTCTCGCGAACGAGGACATCTCGCTCCGGAAAAGAAGGGCCTTTTTTTTTAATTTCTTTTCGCACAGAAGGGGGGGAAGGTGTTCGGCGTCTCGGCACCACGACGTGCCGTTCAAGTAGTTCACCCCTAAACCAAGAGAGCGATTAGGCTTGTGTTTATGTCTTTATTTCGTGAAAACGGTAAGGACTCGTCATTTTAAAAAAAAATGGTGGGGCGGCGGGGGGGGGGGGAATATAGGGGGAGGGGAGGAGAGAAAAAGAAAGAGGAGGAGGAGGATGGGGGGGGGGCGTCGAGAAAAAACATTTTTTCGAAAAAAAACAAGGCCGGTGAGAGGAGAAAAAAAACTTGGGGAGGGAGCGTGGCGACAGTGGGACCGACTGGAAGGGGTGGGGGGAGGGAGAAGAAAATAACCGGCGATGGATGGAGTTGGTGGAGGTGGTGGGGGGGTTTAACCGTGCGAAGAGCAATTGGGTGGGGGGTATGGGAGGTGGGGAAGAGAGACTGTCCGCGTGAAGGAGTGGGGCCGACCGACCGACCGAGCGGAAGGGGGGGGGAGAGTGAGAGAGACACCGACCGTGCGAGGCTTTCAAAATGGCGTCGTGCGGGCCGGGCCCTGTGACGCACTATGCGCCAGTCGTGGCTGTGTCGGCTGGTGAGAGGGAAGAGAGAGAGAGAGAGAGCGAGCGCGCGCGCGAGAGAGAGAGAGAGAGCGCGTGAGAGAGTTTACTCATTACCGTCGCTGAAAAAAATGTAGCGAAAACGCTTCGGAGAGTATTCTGTCGCGTGTTTTTTTTTCTCCTCCTTCTTTAAAACTTTTTTTTTAAAAGAATCTTTCGCTTCCTTTCCTCCCCCCTTCCCCTCCCCCTCCCCCCCCGACTCCTGCGGTAGGCGATGCGTATTGTCGGGCGGCGGGTGACTCACTCACACGTGTACTGACTGCAGAGGCTGCTGCATCAGGGCATGACTCAGCGCCCAACCGCTTCACCACCCCTCTCGCTCTTTATCAGCTCTTCTCCTCTCTCCCCCCCTCCCACCCTCCTCCCTCTTCTTCTCCCCCTTCCCTCCTCTTCTCCCCCCCCCCCCCACCTTCCCCCCCCCCCATCAAATGCCACAGCGGGGGATGGGGTCGCGTAGTTTTCTCGTAGATTCATGATCGTTAAGGTCTGGGAGTGAGCTTTTCACCTTGTTCGGGTGGGGGTGGGTTGCGGGGGGTGGGGTTTGGTTAGGGAGGGAGGGGGTGGTGGGTGGGTAGGGAGGGAGGGGGCTGGTGTGGGGGGGGGTTTAGTGCCCCGCTTTATTTTTTTTAAAAAAAACTTATTTTCTATATTGATCTGCGGACAGCGTGGTCACGTAATGAGGTCCTGATGTACTTTTGTGTGTGTGTCTTTTTTTTATATAAAATTAAAGTGCACTTGTCCTGCTCTGAGGATGTTTTTATTACATTTTGTCATATGAACTTTCGGAGGTGGATTTACAGTGTTGTACGAGGAGTGGGTATATGCTGTCTCGTTTTTCCCCTCCCCCCTTCGCTTCTGCCCTGCACCACCACCCACCCTCCCTCCTTGAGAACGCAATCGTTTTCATAACTTAAAGCCTCTTCTGTTGCGAGTATGAAACGATTGCATTCTTGCAGTGAGCGATTTCTGAAGTGTCCAAACCACTTTTTCTTCGATCAACTAGACCTTGAATCAGAAATGCCCGTAAATTCGCTAGTTGCTAATATTCGGGACATTGGAGCGAAGGTGGTTTGATAATGTAGGTTAGCATGAATATAAACGCAAATGTAGAGGGTTGGAAGATTAATGATTTGGATTCAACCGTGTTGCATTTCACTAAATATGAGCAATTCATGCCTAATCTTTCTCTCGCTTCCCTTCTACTACAGAGCTGTTGCGCAGCCGTTGGTACCTGTGTCGAGGAAACCTAACCAACAAGCGGGGAACTCGCAGCCTCAGTGGCGCAAACTTTTTCATGTCAGAGACCGAGTACACTTGCAATTGTTTATGTCATCCATTCTTCTCCAGACAGAAGATACCAAAAAATTCAATTCAAAGATCTTTTCACTTTACTCATAAATCTAATAGTAAACCAGAATGGCTGTCAATGTCAACCGCAGTGTTTCTGACCAGTTCTATCGGTACAAAATGCCCCGTCTGATTGCTAAGGTAAGGATAGTTCAGTGGTGTTGCTGATAGTTTTACAAATTGCCTTAACTTTGGATCTTTTGCTAATTTCTTTATTTTCCTTAAATAAATATAAATTACTTTCCTCAGGTCGAGGGCAAAGGGAATGGAATAAAGACCGTAATAGTCAACATGGTTGACGTTGCCAAGGCGCTTAATCGGCCTCCAACGTGTAAGTGGGAACTAATTTTTGAAGTGGCTGTCTATATATAAAGTTTTTTATTTGTCATCTCTAAATATAGAGAACCCCTTGTGGGTTAAATTGAATAAGTGTTTAATGAGCCAAAATAGATTTTAACTAATTTGTATTGAGTCAATTGCTCAGCAGCATCAGTCCAAGACAGAATATTTCTGTATAACACCTGGTAAAGTTCATTTTTTGGATTCTCTGACGCTGTAAATATTAGCCTCCCATTTTCCATTGCTGACTAAAGCACAAGTTCATTTTGCAGTGGGAGTCATTTCAGCATTGCTCATTTGTGCCACCTATTGGCTGATTTTAGAAGAATCTAGAACATTCTGTGAAATGCTGCACATGATTTTCTGTGGTTTGTGCAGCATGAATAATGGTTGTTACAGCTTTATTATTGCAGCCATCAAATATCATTTGACATCTAAATTACTCTTTATGTGAAAGATAAGATGGTAGCAGATGCCCATGAAATGCTGGCCAGCATACTCGACACTCGAAGAGTTGGTGGCGAAAGTGCTATTGTAATGCCAGTCAGTTATTTAATGGATCCATAGGTGACATCTTATAGGAGTCTGCACATTTTTTTTTCATTTCTTGTGGAAATGAAATCAGTCAGTTGAATTATGCTGATTTGACATGTAATCCACTTGGGAGTTCTGTACAGATCACGGGAGGAATCTGGCTGCCTGAATATTCACTCTTTCCTCCTTTGTTATCGCTCTCCCCTAGCCAGTTGCAGCCACAACTCATTACAAACTGGGCTCTGAAAGATTGATATGTTCCTTTCTGTTCTGACTAACACACTTATTTAAAATCTTGCAGATCCCACCAAGTTTTTTGGTTGTGAGCTGGGAGCTCAGACCCAGTTTGATTTAAAGAATGACCGTTATATTGTGAATGGATCTCATGAGGCGAATAAACTGCAAGACATGCTGGATGGATTCATTAGAAAATTTGTTCTTTGTAATGAGTGTGAGAATCCTGAAACTGACCTGGTAAGTGCACTCAATCTGAAAATCTGTCTCGTCATCGCATAAAATATTGATAAAGTTGGGAGTGAATGCCAGTCTAGTCTGTGCAAATGGCTGAGTAGCAAGCTTGAATACTTAATGGTTGTATAATTTTTGTTCCACTTTTAGCATGTCAATCCAAAGAAACAAACCATTGGCATCGCTTGTAAAGCCTGTGGATACAGAGGCATGCTTGACACACGTCACAAGCTCTGCACATTCATTCTAAAAAATCCTCCTGGTAAGTATTCACACTCTTCTTAGTTAGTTTGATCATTCTGTTTTAACAGAATTGAATCTGCATTTACAGTATTCTTATTTTGCAGAAAATGGGGATGGTGGCTCAGCTAAGAAAGAAAAAGAAAAGAGAAACAAGAAGGGGAAAGATAAAGAAAACGGATCTGTTTCTGAAACATCCACACGTAATGAATTTGATGCTCCAGATGTAGTGGTAAGCACATTTTAATAGGTGGTCTGATTTTTATTTTGAAGGTGAATGAGAGGACTTCTTAACTTGCATTAAACTTAACGACTGACCGTTCCACTATTAAATGTTGGTATGAACCTTATTTGAAGCTGAAGTTAAATCTGTGTGCTTCAATTTTTTAATCTGAGCAAATTCAAACATGCCTCTTGGAAAATTCTTTAATCTTTTATAATGAGATGTTTTGTGTTTTATGTTATAGACCTCGAATGTTTTGTTAGGGATTTTTATGTTGCAAACTATTTCCTAGGATCGAGAGGATGATGATGATGACTGGTGTGAAGAAACAACAGAAGAGGCCCAGCGCCGTAGAATGGGTGAGATCAGTGAACATGCCAAAAACTTAACTCTCAGTGAGGACCTGGAGAGACCATTGGAGGAGAGAGTGAACCTGTTCTATGCCTTTGTCAAGGTATTTCATTATCATAGTCGTGCCTTTCAAACTGGGTATTTGGAATAATTTAAATATGTACTATTTTATCCCTCCAGCTTTTTTGTTTCTACCTTCTCCTGAAAAGCATCTATTCCACAGTACTGGGTATTTTCCAGAGCTTTACCCAAGTAGTTATTGATCATATGACTAACTCCTGCCAGGATTGATACCAATTTGAATATTGCATTAATGAATAACATAAGCCAGTAATTGATTAACATCTAAAAGGGCAATTTGTAGTGTGGGTCGATGGTAGTGGCTGGCTGACTCCCATCTTTGACATTAAGGCCAAATAAGGCTCCATTGGGCTATCAGTTGATATGATCCCTCACCTTGGAGCAGGTATTAAGCTGGAAACTTTCTGGATCCATCTTGCACAGTGATTTTACCATTTGTAGTGTTTTCATTATGCCTAATGTACCATATCATATTCTCCATTGTATTGCATAATTTGGCTGTGGTTTTAATCTAATTGGATTCTTATGGAACTAATTAGTTTTGCAGTGAGGGTTTTTCTATTTATGTAGAAACTATATTCTTGCCTCTGGTACTAGTATAACTTGAACATTGGTAATTTTGATGAACTGTGCTGCTTTCTGTGTGTAAAATATTGCTTGGGAAGGAATTTCAACCTTCCTTGTTTTGATCTTAACAGTATAGGGAAAACCTTACAAATAGTAGTTAAATAAAATTCCCTTTCTATAAGTAACAATTTTTAATATTTTAAGCAATTTAGTTGTAGGAAAATAAATTGAAACTTTGGATTTCCATTTTTTCCGTTCAGATTCCATGTTGCAATATATTGGAACTATGGTGCCCATCTTGCTTCAAAGAACAGGATACGCTAGGTTAATGATTATTTCTTCAATGCCATGTGACTTAGGTTTCACCCTTCATTATTTTCCAGCAAAAGAAAGAAGAGGGAATCATTGACTCTGCTGATAAGGACCTTCTGTCAGAAGCTGAAAGGCTGGATGTAAAAGCCATGGGCCCCCTCATATTGAGCGAGCTGCTTTTTGATGAGAACATAAGAGAGCAAATCAAGAAATACAAACGTCACTTTCTGCGTGTAAGTTTCTTTTTTTTCTTACAAATGTTCTGTGCAAGTTAGCATGATGTGATTATTAATTGGCAACCTATTTCCTAATAGTTCTGCCATGGCAACAAAAAAGCTCAGAAGTATCTCCTTGGTGGCTTTGAGTGTTTGGTGAAAATGCATAGGGATCAACTACTTCCCAGAGTTCCTCACATCCTGAAGCAGCTGTATGATGCTGATCTCCTGGAAGAAGAGGTCATCCTTGCCTGGGCTGAAAAGGTAACTAGTGTTGAATCTGTTTTAGACTGGGATGCTGCCCTGCACGAGTGGTGCTATATAAATGCTCGTTGTTGGTGTTCCGGGCATTCAAAGCTTTGTTGTCAAAGCAAGTTCCTTTTGTTACTAAATTAGGTACTTCTCAATTCTGGTATGGTGCTTAATTCATTTGTTTTTTATGGACCTGGCTTTCTGTGGAGTCCTGTGGCTCAGTGGTTAGAGCACTCACCTTGCAAGCGAGACTCCTGGGTTCAATTCCTTGGGCAAGTTTTTTTTACTCCACACGCCTAATAATAATCCCTCCAAAAACAAAACAATAATAAATTGGTCATTTTCAATCCACGACTGTTTGTGGGACACTACTGTGCACAATTGGTTGCCACGTTTCACCCACAAATATACGGTCAATTCATTTTACAGCATATTCTGTGAAGCGCTTTTAGATGTTGAAGATGTAAAAAGCACTATCAAATGCAAGGATTATTATAAAGGCCAATTTCTGGGTCTTTTGCTGTTGGTAACACAGTGCACAAGGCACAGCCAAATCACAATGGAAAAAGCACCAGTGATGTTGCTGGCAACTTGACAGGCCCAAGAGCTGGCCATTGTTCACTTACTGAAGTTGCATCTGTGAACCTTATTTCAAAACCGAAGATTTCCCACTAGCTTTTTTGTATTCTAATTTTTTTATTGTGTCCTAACATTGTAACCTCAATAGGTTTCGAAAAAGTATATCCCAAAGGAGCTCGCCAAAGAGATACATGCAAAAGCTGACCCATTTGTTAAGTGGTTGAAAGAAGCTGAAGAAGAGTCTGAAGAGGAAGTGGAGGAAGATGATGAAGAGAAAGATGTGGAGGTAATGACTGCCAGTAGCCCTACGTATATGTAGAGACTATCTCTGCATAATTTCCCAACTGACTGCATTTCTTAAAATGGCATGTCCCAAGTCTAAATTGTTACTAATTGCCTAAAATATCAGCACCTTATTTGTGACATCTTGGTATTGGGTACTGAATTAGCACACTGATGGTTCACATTTATACAGTTTGTATAGATTATGAGCAGTCAAAAGGACTGGCACAATTATAAAAGGTTTTTTTTGAGCTCTCTTTATTGGTTTAACTCCCTTCTTATTCCTGTGGCTGAACATTCACTCGGTGAAAGATTTCTGTTTAGAGTATGCATCTGTTTTCTATGCAAAATTTCTTTTGTGGAGTTCACTCAAAAAATGTTTTGGTTCGTTGCAGGTTGTTTACGACAGTTCTGCAAGGGAACTGAAAGTGGAAACAGTGAAAACCGTAAAGCCAGGAAAGGAGGAAGATGATATAGACATTGATGCTATTTGATGTGTTGCTTTGTTGTGCAAAAGTTTTCTTCTGTTGAGGATTTCTTGCAGTGGAAAGTCACTTGTAATGAAGAAATAAGCCCATAAATCGGTCTCTGCTGTAACAAATTCTTCAATGGAAATAGTGATGCTTCTTCTGCCACTTTAGAATTCTTAAAATGGCATGTCCTGGGTCTAAACTGTCTGACCAATTACCTAACATTAGCAGCTTATTTGTGACACTTTTGTCTTGATATTGGGCACTAAATTCTGGATTTGCTGCACGTTTATACAGGGATGTGAAATGCAAATAAAGGGGATTGCGTTCTGTATTCCTAGTTATCTTTTGCTTGAATTACCATTGCTCAGCAGTAGGACTTTGAAGGATAGATTAGTCAGTGGGTAGCAATCCTTCCCACTATGCTCCTGTTAAACCTGCAAATGAAAGTCCAAATGGGAAGAAATCTCACCTGAGTTGGAAAAGCATTGGGATACACCAGACAGTGTTGGCAATGGTGAAGTTTGATTCTCCCCCCCCCCCCCCACTGGTTAGAATACCATAATAATAATAATAATAATCCTTGCATTTGATATAGCGCTTTTCACGTTGGGAGGATGTCCCAAAGCGCTTCACAGAACACACTGTAAAGTGAATTGACTGTATATCTGTGGGCGAACGCAGCAGCCAATTGCACACAGCAATGTCTCACAAAGAGTCGTAGATTGAAAATGACCAATTTATTATTGGTTTTGGTGGGATTATTATTAGGCTCTGTGTGGAGTAAGGAAACTTGCCCAAGGTTTCGCCCTGACCTGCCTGGAATTGAACTCCGGTCTCACTTGCAAAGCGAGTGCTCTAACCACTGAGCTACAGGACACACAGCCTTGGTTTTTGCTATTTTTATTATTCACAGTACTTTCTGGAAGGAAGGAGGCTACATTCCTTCAAGGGGAGTGTATTCAATTCCAGTTGGACATTGCTGTGCTTAGGTGGTCTGCATATAATTGAACTTTGCCTGATTTTAGTCGGGAGGATGTTCAGTGAAGGGTTTGCACCTGAGCTGGGGTTAGAATCCAAAGGGATGGGGAGATTGAGTGGTGTGGGAAGATGACCAAAGGCACAGTCAAAAAGGAAGGTCATGATACGAGCCTTGAAAGCAACTGAGGGTTTGAGGTGGAGGGGCTGCAGAGGGGAGTACAGCAGGCAAGGGCCCACCGAAAGGAGGGAGCAGATGGGTTGGTAAAGGTTTAGGAGATTGCAGAGGTAGGAAAGATCAAGACGGTGGCGGTTTAAGGATCTGCTGTTTTGGTAGTTTTTTTGACGCCAGTTATTGAGTTCATTGAGTTCTTCCTGAAGGTATAGAGTAAGGTGATGCATAGCACTGAGGGAGCAAAAGTCACAACCAAGCTGCTGCAAGTTTGAAATGATTGCAGTAATTGTTGGTTCTTGCCATTTGTATTCCAGTAGCTAGTTGAAACCAATACTGACTGAGGCCCAATATAAATCTACTACTCGGGTCAATGGCAGGAAACATGATCCAGAGAGCACAGGGAAAAATAAAATACAAAAACCATATCCTCAGAAAACAATAAGTGCAATACCATTTTATTGAAAAAGTAGTCACACGTACTAAGAATCAGATCTGAGCAACTAAGGAAATAAATAATCCAACTAGTCAAACCTGTTAAAGCAACCACCCTAGGACAGTTGACTGATTTTTCTTTTCCGCCCCCCCACCACCTCTAGTAAACCACCTCTATTCATCTAATGCAATTGGTGACAATTTTTTTTTAAGCCTGTTGGTGCACAGAAGCTCTTTTCAGCAACCAGTTCTAAGTGGATTTAAATGAACTTAATGGTAATGCATTACCACTCCTAGACTTCAAAGTGCATTTACTCACGCTGAGCAGAGCAGCCCATGTGATGCCCTAGCTTTCCATCTCACCGGTGAAGCAGTGAATGCATTCAGAGTCTGATGAGTCTACATGTGGGTCTGGAATTATTTTAAATTTTTGGGCCCGGTCAATAAACCAAATGAACCCTTATTCAGAGGCCACGCTTGCATAAAGGTTTACATAACTTGGTCCATTCTGATGAGTAATTGCTGAAAACAAGTTTGACTATTAAAAGTAGTACCACATAATTTACCAATGTTTGCAAACCATGATGCTTTACGAAACTCATGTAGTTAGAGGCGCTGTCTCAACAAAGGCAAATCAGAAAAGTTTAGTGTCTTTAGTGGTTATTGGAGCTTCAAACTCTTCAGTCTGATTGTCAAATCCAAATCAAGGTGAAACCTTGATGGGTCGGACAGACATTTATTAGAATAGAAGATGCATCTCCAGAAGGGTGTGTGATCTCTGTTCATACTTTGTTGCAGAATATCATGTATACTGGGTGCTTAAAGCATTTTTTTAGAATAGCTAGTCAACAATAGAACCCCCAAAATATGCCTGCGACGCTCCCCCATGCAACACCTTTCTGATGAGGTATAAATCATGTCTACATCAATTGGCTATTTTGTTCTTGGCGGATGGACATTTCATCTATTAGAAAATTAATTTTATATTGTATCTATTATAGATACTATTATGTATCACTAATTCTGGTGTGTTGAGCAGTGAAATATGATGAGCTTTGGCTGATGAAAGAATAAATCCCCCTCTAATTTACATGCTTTGCGATAGACCTCAACCAGTCCACTAGATGGAGCTAGTCATAATTGTGCTTTTGTTACTGTATTTGAATTGAAGTCATGGAGGTTTAACTTACAATTTTGGGATCATGATGCTATACATGTATTTGCACACAGAAATATACACAAGACAAAGCTGACAATCAGTATTCAATGACTATTATTGCTACATCATTGGTTGAAGAAAGAAGGGAGTATGATATTTTGATGGCATTGATGGAGCTGTAACATTATTTTTACTTCACATTTAGGATTGTAATATCAGGGATGAGATCATTAAGAAATGTTTAGGAGAAAAAAATGTGCTTAAAGGTAAGATATGTCCATAGAAGTAAATGAAATCAATTTTACGACAGCGTTCAGCATGATTCTGGTGTAGATAAGAGCTCGTCTTCCCTCATCACCAATCCCAGGAGAGCACTCCTCCACTATGACATTTTTATCCCCTCCACTATACCATTTTTATCTCTTACACTAAGCACTGTATGATATCTACAACAACACTGAATTATTTGTTTTGTGCCGAAGACAAAAACCCATTAGGAACTGCAGTGAAATTGACCAAGCACGTTTCAGTCAAGACTTGCGTATTTTGCTTCTCAGTTTCCTACCAATAACATAATAGATTTATATTTCTCACAACTGGGACACCGGTGTGCGCAATTGGTGACCGCCCACAAAATACAGTCAATCCACTTTACAGTATATTCTCTGGAGTGCTTTGAGATGTCTCAAACATGTGATTTATCAAACGCAAGTACTATTATATAAGCATGTTATATCATAGAACTATATTCCAGATAAACATCAATCATGACATACTCTGATATAGATGTGCTGCAATATGTGTATTATATTAAATTCCTGATACTAAAGAACAAATTCTGAACAAAAAAATGAAAATAGCATCACAGTCATTAAATACTCTTGAGTTTCTTTTCAAGTCATTGACTTATAAGAACTCATCTCTAATCCAATCGCCACAGAAATCATCAGCTGCTACACCATGTAATGCTGCTTGTGAGAGACTGATTTCTCTTACAGGCAGCATTACACCCACGTGTATCTCTTTAAAGGATAATTTAAAGTCAGTGACTCAATAGCACATAAAATCTGTATTATGCAAAATTAAAAGTACGAAGGAGTGAATTCATTCATTCCCAGGGTTAAAAAAGTGTTTTTCATCAACTAGAAGAACAACCTGATGCCACACTTAATGAAATTGCTACCTTTTTACTCATCCTCTACTCTGTATGAAAAGCAGAAATTCACAGCTGTCAGATAGCTAAACTAATTACTTCCAACAGGATGGGATGAGTTATATGTCATCTGGCTAGAATTTAATTTGGGATGGTCAGGGGATAGAATAACCATTGTGTCAGTGAGAGGTTCATAATAACGGATTGCAACTTCCAAAAATTAATTATAAATCTTTAGAAATTATATTTGTTGGTCAGCTGGATGTCTGACACATGGAGAAACCTATCACCATGCTTAAGGTCCACATATAGATGCCACTTACAAATGCAGATTTCCCTATCTGAAACGGTGAGACGTGCCCTGCTTACCTAATATTGCAGCAATTTGGGTGCGGGTTGGCAAGAGCCAATATTTGGAGCGTATGCTGTGCTATGGCTCAATTTTAAACAGCAAAAAAAAATCTTGTAATTGAGGGCACTGTTTGGCAATCTCCCTGCTGCCTGTCCAGCTAGGATCACTGTACCCATTGTAACTTTGGCTTGTTGGGTTAAAAAGAGAATCCCAACTCCCAGTGACTGATCTTTTCCTCCCACTCTTGCTGATGAACCAAACAGGCTGGTCTATTAACATAAGTGTTCTGTAGCACAGAGGGCCTTCCTGGCTCAAGAACCGGACTATCAATATTCCCACAAAGCTTTGACTCAATCTGACATTCTATTGCCAAGCATGTCGCCTTGGACACAGCTCAGCTCTAAGAGAACCCTGCTTACTTTACCCCCCCACCCCCCCCAAGCCCCGGGGAGATAGTTTGTCAATTACATTTCAGGGTTTTGCGAAACAGGATTATGTTTTTTCTTGCAGCTCTCTTGATCTTTCAGTAGGATAAGGCACCATAACAAATGCAGGGATGATTATTCCTCTTAGATACATTTGGTCATTCCGTGGGCAGTCCAAAGGAGAACCTGCTGTGCATAAATTGGCTGCTACTCTTGGCCTCAAAAGTAGCCAGTGCGCTTCACAGCAATCACCTGTGATACTCTTCCAACAGGTGACGAGGTCGTGTGTCAAACGCGAGGATGGTCATTGACCTCGATTCGATTGGGACGTCCTCCTGACGTGAAAGGCGCTTTATAAATGGAATCTAGTTGTTGTTGTTGTTGTTGCCGGTAGGTCAAAACGGGCGAGTTTCCTTACTTCTCACCCGTTTCCCCAGCAGTAAGCCGGAACCCGGATCGCTTGTCCCGGGGTGGGGGGGGGGGGGTAATAATTCTTCCAAAACAAAGAATAATAATAATAATAATAATTTGGTCACTCAATCCACGACCGTCCGTGGGAGGCCGCTGCGCGCAATCGGCTGCTGGCGTTTCGCCCGCTCGGTGTGCAGTCAATTCACTGTACCCTGCGAAGCGCTTCGAGGCGTCTCGAAGGTGCGACGAGGCGCTGTATCGCAAATGCAGGGGATTATTATTGTTATTAGACGCTCTGCACCGGACAGCGCCTCTTGACGCCGAGTGAGTCCCTCCTCCTCCTCACTTGTCCCCAGCACTTCCGGTGATGGTGGTGGTGGGCGGGGCGTGTGGCAGTGACGCGCTTCCTGCCGCTGGCGCTGGTTGGCGGAGTGGGAGCCTGGCGGCCATTTTTACCCGGAGTCACTCTGCGCTCGGAGAGCGGAGCGACGCTGCCACCGCCCCTCAACACGCCCTGCCTTTACCCCCCCTCCCCCCCCCCCAACCCCCGTCCCCCTCCCTCTCCCTCCCTCCCTTCCCTCTTCCTGCTGCTTTCTCCATGGTGGAGTGCGAGCCACGGCTCCGGCCAACTCCCGCCTCTCCTGGAGCCTCCCGTCCCCGCGAGCGGGGTCGGAAAGCCGGTGTGGCGTGAACACCGGCCCCGCTTTGAGGCCTTGTTGTTATTGAGGCCGAGGTGGGATTGAACGCTTGGCTTGGCTTGGGCTGCGGGGGCTGCGAACTGACTTGACAGCCTCGCTCCCCGGGCGGCGGCGGCGGCGGCGGCAACGACTCCCTCCTCTGGGCCTACATCTCAGCCGCGGCAGAGCGACCCCCCTGGTTTTCAAACGGTTGCACTTGAACCTTAAGTCAGTTATTTTATGCCGTCGCCCACCGCCCACCACCACCTTCTCTACTACTATTTGCACATTATTTATATGTAAAGAGGAGTGTGACCCGCGACCGAGTGAGCGTGTGTGACACAGATAGAGAGAGAGAGAGGGTTTGATGTTTGCCGCTGAATCGTTTTTTAAGAGGTACAAATCGAAAGACTTGACGCCCCCGCCTCGTCTCCCCCCCCCCCCCCCTACTCCCCCTCCGGCCTCGTCTCCCCCCCCCCCCTACTCCCCCTCCAGCCTCGTCTCCCACTCCCCCTCCAGCCTCGTCTCCCCCCCCCCCACTACTCCCCCTCCAGCCTCGTCTCCCACTCCCCCTCCAGCCTCGTCTCCCCCCCCCCCCCCCCTACTCCCCCTCCGGCCTCGTCTCCCCCCCCCCCCTACTCCCCCTCCAGCCTCGTCTCCCACTCCCCTCCAGCCTCGTCTCCCCCCCCCCACTACTCCCCCTCCAGCCTCGTCTCCCACTCCCCCTCCAGCCTCGTCTCCCCCCACTCCCCCTCCAGCCTCGCCTCCCCCTCCACTCTCCCTCCAGCCTCGTCTCCCCCCCCCACACCCCCTCCAGCCTCGTCTCCCCCCCCACTCCCCCTCCAGCCTCGTCTCCCCCCCCCACCCCACCCCCGGCTCATGCCCCCGTTGAGTCGCTTCCTTTTAGCTTTGGAATTTCGTCAACGTTGTGTTGGATTGGGACAAGAAAAACAAAATGTCTACTCGAACGCCATTACCGACCGTGAACGAACGCGAAACCGAACATGTAAGTATCTCCCCCCCCCCCTCCCCCGCACCCCTCACCCCTACCGCGGTGTAGTCGGTTATCGGCGGCAGCAGAGCGGCGGTCGTTGACGGGGGTTTCAAAGTGTCGGGATATTGCAACGGACCGATACCGTTCCGGCTTGTGCCGGGGACAGTCAGCTACAGTAACGGGGGCTCGGAATCCCTCTGCTGCTTAAATTGGCATCGATGTCAGAAAATGGAGCTCGGTTTGTTGTATTGTGTGCATCATATTTTTTGGGGGATACACCAAACCAGCAATTTTTTAAATTTTTTTGGGGGGCGGGGGGGGGGGGGGCTGTTCTGTGCCACGGTTTAAAGGGGTAGAGCTTAAGTGTCTGCGTTCGCTTGCGGGCGAGTGAAGAGCTCAACGTTTGGTGCCCACCATGAGCTGACAGGTGTCCGGGCAAGAGCCAGGGGTGACTGATGGTTTATCATTTCCGTTGTAGGCAAATCTCATGGCTGAGAAATGGTGGGTATCAGCTGAGTTAAAGAAGTAGGGCACATCATTGCGATTGCTTTCAATGACACTTTCCTAGAAAATTGTAGATACTTTGCAGCATTAAAAGGATTTATTTGTTCGTGAGGAAACCAACCCTCAACTTTTGAAGTCCCGTTTTTCTCTTTGCCGTTCAGATGTGGCTCTTGAAGGTGGAAATAGTTTTCCATTCTGGTTCTGAATGTGCAAATGAGAAGATGTCACCAATAGCTACTGATATGCACTCCGTTCGGGTATTGCATCATGGCTCAAATGAATGCTCCTATACCTATAATTATGTTGTTGGTCTGAAATAGGAATAGTTATCCTCTGGGTGTGAATGGGGATTCAAATTCAGTATTTCTTGACTAATATAACTCGGCTCAGTTAATTAATCCAAACATACTTAATTTTCTGAAGGATTCTCCAGGACAAGTGGTTAAAATTTGGAGGGGGATGGGGTGGGCGAGAGGAGAGAGGGTGTGGAAAGTTGGAATGTTAAGGCTTCAATGCTAATACAGGCCTCTACTATGCTCTGTTAACATATTAGGTTTATTGTAATCGTGTTCATTTTTGTCCATAATTCTGACTTTCTGTAATAGGGATTCAATTAAAATTCTTAGTCAACCCAAAAGTGCAGAATTTTTATAATTGAAAGAAATCAACATCACTGTCTACTTAAAAAACAGAATGAAGCATTTATCTAAAATGCAAAAATGACTGCACTAAACGTAAATCATCTATGATGAATTATCTAGCAAGATACTCAGGAATCTATTCAACTAAACCTGTTTCAATGTGGTACATCACCAGATATTGTTTTATAAGTACATAGGTATTTACTCTTCTGTAGCGATGTTCAAAACGGGTTTCACACTTTTGTTCTAGCATGATTTTTTGTGCAAGTGTATTTGAAACTGGAAACTATTTTAATTTGGTGGTGTTCCTTTTCCTTCCTTTCTCTTTTCTCCATCCCAGCACACATCTCATATGGATGGACGCTCAGAAGTTTCTTCTCGATCGACCCGCTCTGGGGGAGCTCGATGCCGGTATTCAATTACATCCTGTGCTGATGAACAACCACACATAGGCAACTATAGGCTTCTGAAAACCATTGGCAAGGGAAACTTTGCTAAGGTGAAATTGGCTAGGCACATTCTCACCGGAAGAGAGGTAAAACATTCTGGAATGATCCTACATTTGGAATTACTGTTTTTTCTAGCAACCTGCACCCATTTCTGAATTGGTTTTAACCAATTAAGTACTAATGGTTATTACCATTTTTTCAAATCTCTTATGGTTTGTACAAAATTGTCATGCAAGATTATAATCTTCAGTAACATTAAAAGAATTGAGGAATTTGAGGATTTATTGTAATATTTAACAAGCAAATATTCTGCTGAACCCCAGTTTTGAAATCTACCATTGTCCAAACTGCTTTGCACCACATCCTGCTTCTTTCAAGCTCTCGTGGTCTTGACTCAGCCCCTATGAACTGTGCAAAGTCATTTTGGATGATTCTGTTTATTCTGCAAAGTCTTCATTTTGTAGTTCATAATTTTCTGTATCTTTTAGGTTGCAATTAAAATCATTGACAAGACGCAGCTCAACCCCACCAGTTTGCAAAAGGTAAGGAACCACTAGTTTTAGATTCATGTTAAGAGTGCGCTCCATCTGGGAATTATTTTTTTCTAAGATGTGCAACTACAGCACCTTTAGTGATGTATTATTTGCAGGTGTACCACTTAATCTGGAGAACTTGGAGATTCTGCTCTGTTGATGACAAAAAATGGCTGATTTCAATACAATATTTTGGACAATATTTCCAGATTTATTATCATTGTTAGTCTATTGTAATTATTTTGAAATATTTCAGCTTTAGTATCTAATCACTTGGGCTGGATTTTTAGCATGTTCATGTGTTTATGTTTACTTTTTTAAAAAAAATAAGTTCGGTGAAAAACATGTTTTGAATAGTTTTGTTTTCATGAGGTCAGTTAATTTTTTGTCAGGAATAACCACTTGTCAGTTTTGTTATGCTTTTAATTTTAATGTAGAAATCAGGGTAATAGTTAGCAAATGTGCTAATCATAACTGTTGATATAGTTGAACCCCATTTTAACATGGTGCTGTTGCTGTCAGCAGTTCCACATTTACATGTGCTCGGAAAGCCTAATGGTCTAGGATTTGTTTCGATTCTACTAATCATTCTTAGTTACTTCTGTCAGTTCTTGGTTTGTTTAATACAAGGGTCACATTGTAATAATACAATGTTCTACTTTTGATGGGGAACGGGCAGAAGTCTCATTCACTTGGCCTCCACAAGCTTGTTTTTCATTCGTAAATGTTGAAGCCTGTAGCTGTGTGTCATGTCGTGTATTCTGCCATTGTTGTTGAAATGGGTGCATGGTTTTGAAAGGGTAGCTGGTAGGGAGGAGGGACAATGGTATAAATCTAAGCAGTGATGGGCAACAATTGCTCTGCTGGACAGAGAATGACGTTTTGCAATGAAAACTGCTCATTATCCCCTTTGATCTATAAATGTTTGCTACGGAATGTTTGTATTCATAGCTTTTCCAGGCAAAAGCAAAGTTCAGGCAGGTGTCAACATTACATAAAAGAAAAATAAATTGTTCTTAAATTTGATTGCCATTTCACAGAGGTGGTAGTGTGCTTGAGAACAGGAAATCTTTATTTCAGATTATGATGTTGTATTACATGCTGAAAACTGTGCGAAAGGTTCATTACGCGTTTTGTAATCAAGGGAGAATCATGCTATTACCTGCTACGTAAATGCAACAGTGTACTCTCAAGGTGTACTTTGTGTATTCTCAAAACATTACTTGATATAAAGTGAAAATTTCTGCTACAATTGGGCTGCTGGAAACTGAAGACAGGAAGTGGAGTATTAAGTGTGAGCAGTCTGCTTGACTATATATTCAACATTTCTAAAAATACTTCATTTTCTTGCAAATGTATTTTAGTCATAAACAGCTGAGATGAGGATAGGATCTCAAAGTACACAGCATTGAGTGAGAATGTTGTTCAACCATAGAATATTAATTAAAACGTAGATGCATTTTGCTCTTTGGCTGTTTCTAAAGCAACAAATATAGATCTGAATACTTAGACATAGAATTTTAATTAGCGGTAGCTTTGTTTACCAGGACTAAGCAAAAGCTGTAATGGCAGTGTTTCTTTTGGCAGTGTTTTCTCTATAACTCATCAATGTGAACTCTGAATATTTAAAATTTATATTTATAAAACCTAACATAATTGACCAATAATAGTTGATTATTTTTATTTCAGTATTTTTGAATAACTTAGGTAACTTCAGTGCCTTTTAATACATATTTTGCTTACTTGGAAATGAGACTGACCGATTTAATAATAAAAAGGTCCACACACTGCATTTCTGAATATTTGTATAGCTTTGTTTTGGAGATGGATGTGATTAAGATCCGCTTCTTTTTACCCTCGGGATCCTGCTAAATAAAGATCTAAGATTCAGATATACACATAGCTCCATATAATACATTATTGTATGTAGAAGGGAGCAGAAATAGCTTAAACTGCAGCTTAACCTTTACCAATTTAAACTACAATGTTGACTATTAGCATCCTAATGCTCCATTTTGTTGTGCTGTATTGACTGATTAATGCAGGTAAATTATGGATGGACTGTAATGTATAGCTTTTACTGTGCCTAATGATTACATTAAGTTCCTGCTGAGCTACTAACATTAACTGATTACCAAGGACTTTCATTTTAAACTCCATACAAAATGTCTAGCTACCTGCACTGTCCTGTTACATTTGTAGTGATTATCCAGTATTATAAGATTTTTACAATGTTGCTAGATCTTTTTTTTAGGTAGGTTGAGTGTAGGCATACAAAAGTCTAATGTTTATCAATTAATTTGGAGTAAAATTGCTGTGTCTGATGCCTGTATGTTGCTTCTGAGAAGCTATAGATTTGAATTTTGTAATCTGTAAATACATTAAATTATCTTGTTGTAATAACATTTAAAGCACAAATATTTAGAACACTTATCTTATTTTAACAAAGCTTAAGCAGTTTCTGGATCACACACACACAAAATGGTAGAATTTTGCTTATTACTCAAAAGGTTCTTTGCTGTAATCAAGGAAAAGCTTGCACCAGTGGAGTCTGCAAAACAGGACATCTGCTTCTATTCATCACCTTGCACTGTCCTGCCACAAGCCGGAATCATGGTGAAATTCTTGCAGTGTGTATTTTTCAGTTCCATTAAGGTTGAAATTGTTGCAGAGGTTCAAAGCAGTGACCAATGCGTAGTTGAATGATGATGAGTGTTTTGATTGACATTAATTGTGATAAGAATTTATGTAGCAACTCAAATGAACCGAATCCTAAGAATTTATTGTGACAGCATCAGAAATCCCATTGGCAGACAGCAAACTAAATAATTACAACATCTGGTTTCTAACAGCTTTATAATTTATATCACAAACCAGTATTTTATTGAAAAATACCATGAGAAATTATGTTTTCAGAATTATAAAGCAGTTTACACTGGAACTTGATGTAGCATGGCATTCAGTTTGTTTGGCAATAAAAAAATGGTGTTTATAGACATCAAGTGGATGCAACATGTAAACATGACAAATGTTCGGGCAGAGGAAAAGGATATTTTCCTCAGTCTGAGGGCAAATGCTTTATTAGTGTATTCACTGAATCAGTGGACAACTTATGGTTGTAATCCTTTCCTTCTAAACAAGCGTGGGAATTTATTACTTTATTATTTATTAAAAATTTATTATTGGGAATTTACGCCTGATAATAATCCTTCAAGAAAAAATAACAATAATAAATTGGTCACTTCAATCCATGACTGTTTGTGGGACACTGCTGTGCGCAATTGGCTGCTGCGTTTCGCCCACAAATATACAGTCAATTAACTTTACAGTATATTCTGTGAAGCGCTTTGAGACGTCTAGAAGACGTGAAAAGTGTTATATCAAATGCAAGGATAAAAATAATAATTACAGTACTAAGCTGTTGGTAACTGACTATTAAATTTAGTCGATACAGTTTGCAACAAAACTTCCACAGTGCAGACACAATCAGGATGTGATTATTTATCTAATCATGAACCTCATGGGGGAAGAACTTTCCTCCATAAATATGAGCCACATCTAGGCATGTTCTTGTTAACCAAAATCTGAGCAGTCGAGTAAAAATCTGCAAACTCCTTTTGATAATAAAACTAATGTACAGCTATGTAAAATTGATCCTGCTGTACATTTTTTGATGCACACCCTGCAATGATGCCGCAACACACAATGTGAAAGTGTTTTGCTATAAGAGAGCTGATTGCTACATTTTTGCAATCTTGTAATTCTTTCCAAGGTTGCAAAAAATGTCATGACAGATTATTTTAATGTCACTTTTTTTTGCCCTCTTGTCATTCATAAATAATCAAAATCGAAAGTGCTTATGCAGATCAGTGCCCTGTTTTTTTTGTTCCTTTGATGCATTGATTTGACAGAGCATGGTGATTGAAGTCCCTTTTTTTAAAATTAAAAGCTTAAGGTGTTGATCTCTGGGGACTCCATCTTATGGCCCTTTAATATGTGTAGCTAGTCAGACTCTGTGCTTCTTTGAAAGCTAATTCAGTTCTGTATAGAAAGCCTGTTATTATTTCATTTGGAAAATTTCTCTGCACTTTAAAATTTTATTGAACTTGGCTGGCTGAAATATGTTTAAATTCTAAAGTGAATGAATTCACTGAAGTGAATTAGGTCATGGAAGCACAGACTTCCCTGTAGGGAAACTTAATTATTTACTGTCGGCTTTGGTCAATTAAAAGCTGCTTCTGACAACAGTATTCTATAGAATATCTAAAGAGTAAAAGGGTATGTTTGTATTTCAGTATTAAGGCTGTTTTCTTTACTTGAATTCAGCAGGTTTGTGTGCAATTTTTATCATTTCCTAATACCAGATCAGGATTCAAAACTTACCTTTTTCTAACTTATAATTCCACTGACGAGTACTAATGTAGGCTGGTAGTTAAAAATATTTGCAATTGCTTGCTTAACATTGCTAGAATTTCAGTGTGTAAATGAGCTTTATTTTAATTTTAACTACTTGGAAATTTTGACTTGTACTTCATCAATTTATAACACAACCTGCTTTTTAAAATTCATGAACTAATGGACTTCTCTCACCCTATTTTATAATTATGCAACATGGAGAGGGCTTTCTAACAAGCTGGTATTGGGTCACTGAGCTGTGTCATTGATCCATGAGAACATCTACATTAAACAATTATGTGGTAATGGAAAATTGATCAAATATAGTAGTTTACTGGAAAGTGCTGTAGCAGTGTACCAGCAATCTAGAGAAAAACATTGCAGGTAGGCTGGTGTATTATTTATTTTATTTAACTGTGAAAAAGCGTCAGAGATGATCCTTGTATTTTGGTAAAGCATCTTTCAGGACATCTCAAAGTCCTTCATAGGAAACACTGTCAGGTGCAATGACTGAAAACCTCCCCTTCTGACCCCATCAGCCTGCAAGCGCAACTCGGGTATTAAGCTCTTTGGGACATCTTCCTAATGTGAAAGATGCTAAATAAATATAAATT